ACACAGGTTTGGTTTTATTGATCCAAGAGATTTGTTTCCCACTTTCCTTTCTCCCCTTGGACACAAAAATAATTTGTGTGATATGAATATGACCTTTAATTTTTTTAATCAATCAGCCAGTAAGCATTTATAAGTATCTACTATATGCCCAGACATGATGCTAGGCTCTGGGGTTACAAAATACAAAGAATGAAACTCCCTACTCTCAAGGAATTTTTATTAAGATATAAGTTCTCTAAGAGGGACATGACATTTTTTGCCTTTTTTTGTATCCCATTTGGCATAGTGTCTGGCACATTTTAAGTGCTTAATAAATATCTGTGGACTGCCTTACTCCCTGACATTCTAGAAATGTGGCATAATAGAGAGTATGCCTCAGAGTCGAGGAGACCTGATTTCTGGCTATATGACATTAAGCAAATCATTTAACAGTAGTGAAGAAATATTTTAAGTACATTAAGAAGTTAAAAGAAGTATCTTGGTGTCCTCAGGTTTTAATGCTTACGGGTTGCACCATAGTTGCATCTACATTGCTAAAGGGAGGCTCCTATGCCAAAGAAAGCCTAAATCCAGACCAAAAAAAAAAAGGTCCTTCAAATCATGTTTACTGAATGTGGGCAAATGAACAGTAATTCAGGCTCCTTAGCCCTGCTGGCCAGTTGGTTTGATCAGCTCTTTTAATTATTTCCTATTTAGCCTCTACATAGCTTGTTTGCACATATATGTTTGCTTGTTGCTTGTCCCTCCCTCGCCCCAATCCCAACCTTCCCTTAGATTGTGAGCTCCTTGAGGGCAGGGACTGTCTTTTGTCTCTTTTTTTGTATCCCTAGCACTCAGCCTGACTACAGATTCACTAAGAAATAATGATACTGCTAAATTGGAGGGTTTTCTGCTGCAAGTTTATATAAAGGATTTCTCTTTGGTGCAAGAGGACCTAACTAGGACAGTACTATCCAGAAGGGAGATAGCCTGGCAAAAGTCATATGTGGTTTGGAATCATCTATCTGACAGGACTAGATTCCCTACTTTGGGTTTAATCTCTTTGGAGACTTTATAGAAACAGTTGTGTCACATGTTGACTTAATTTTTCCATGCAAGATTTATGAACTACAAATTGGCATATTCTCAAAGCAGAAATACTCTATTGTTCGGCAACTCATTTTCTTGTAACGATAGAAATTACAAATTACCCTGTAATTAGCAACTGTGCTGCTTCCTTTCTAAGTGGCCAGAATTGGCCTGATCAGCACACCTGTCCTTTTTGTCTCTGGTTTTGTATATCATTGTTATTGAAGGCTGTGTTCCTGTTCTTTGAGATCTGGAACCAGAATGACTCAGAATGGGTTTTGCCCCAGTATAGCTTAAGGTAGAAAGGGTAAGAGCACTTGTAAATGTCTTGGCCTCCTGAGACAGCACTCTCAGGGACACCCCTGTCTGACAAGTAGAAATGAGCACAAACACAGCTCTCCTCTTTCTCTGGTTTGGAGCTGGAAGACCTGCATAGTCTTATGGTAGTATTGGGCAGTTAGGTGGTGCAGTGCATAGAATGCCAGGGCTTATCTTCCTGAGTTCAAATGATTAAAATTACTTTTTAGTGCCTTAAATAGTAGCAACCCACTAATCTCACCAACCTTAAATACCCTACTGATATGACCAACTCCACAAATCATATTGCCTCTATTTTGATTGCACTGACTCCATTAACTGAAGTGACCATATCCTCTCATCAAGTGACCGTAGACCCCACTAGCTTCACTAGTCCCATAAATGAACTGACTTGGTGAGTATGGAGCAGAAAGCATAATGGGAAACCAGTGGGATCTCTGGGGTAGCCCTGAAACTCTTGTCCCAGGGATCTGATAGGCTATGCCTCATTGATGAGCATCCTCTGTGATTCATACCCATTCCTGGTTGTCACGGTAGCAGCCTGTATAGTCCCAGAGAACTCAGGGCAAATGGCTGTCTTCAGGGCTAACCCCCTAAATATATCAGTCAGATCCCTGTGTTAACAGATCAATAAGGAAGCAAGTGGAGGAGAGAAAGAACAGAAAATGAAGGTCAAAGCTTTGAGAACAGGTCTGTTCACTTGAGGAGCACAGTACACAAAGAAGAAAACTTCATAGTGGTTTTGTGATTTTATTTCTATATTGGAAATGGCTTCTACCATTCTCAACTCCCTTGTTGACTATAAAGGAAGGGATTTGGGGATACAACTTAACTACTCCTTTCCAATGATCAACTCAAGATCTGTTAAAGCAAATGCATGGTAGGTATTCTTCTGGGCTACCTGAGTAAATAGGTATTTAATGAGGATTTTCAAATATATGAACTTGCAGAAAAATCTCTACCTTTGGGCAAATATGCAACTCTATCTAAAGTGACTTCTACAAGTTAAGGATATAATTCTCAAGAGTTACCCCTAACGACATACACAGGCAAACATTTCCTACAAGTAATAATACCATTTTGTTGTTGTTTGGTTGTGACCCCATTTGATATTTTCTTGGCAAAGATACTGGAGGGATTTACTGTTTCCTTCTCCTGCTCATTTTACAGATGAGGAACTCAGGCAAACAGGGTTAAATGACTTGCCTAGGGTCACACAACTAGTAAGTGTCTGAGGCCAGATTTGAACTCAGGAAGACAAGTCCTAGGATTCTATCCACTGCACCACCTAACTGCCCAATACTACCATAAGACTATGCAGGTCTCCCAGCTCCAAATCAGAGAAAGAGGAGAGCTGTGTTTGTGCTCATTTCTACTTGTCAGACAGAGGTGTCCCTGAGAGTGCTGTCTCATGTGGCCATCAGAGAGAAAGCAAAGAGCTAAGTGGAAATGCTGTGCACCCAGGTGAAGTCAGGTCATTATGTGTAATTAATGATTCACTTTCCCTTTTACTATGAAGCTGCTCTAACTTGCTCCCCAGCAACCCCTGAAGCCTACAGGCCAAACTTGTATCTTTTGCATTCATAGGCTCTAGATTAAAAAAAAAATGATTTTAGAAATCATCCATTAGAATAAGTTCAAGGATTCTGAACCTGGAGTGTCCTTGAACTTTTCTTTTCTTTCTTTTTTTTTTTTTTTGGCTAGGCAGTGGGGTTAAGTGACTTGCCCAGGGTCACAAAGCTAGTAAGTGTCAAGTGTCTGAGGCCGAATTCAACTCGGGTCCTCCTGACTCCAGGGCTGGTGCTCTTATCCACTGCACCACCTAGCTGTCCCTGAACTTGGTTTTAAAAAACATTTTGATAACTATATTTCCATAGAGTTGCTATAATCTGTATTTATTTTATGCACTAAAAAACATTATTTTAAGAAGGGGTTTATAGGCTTCACCAGACTGCTGGAGGGATACTTGATAGAAAAAGGGTGAAGAAGCCCTGACCCAGTCCAAACTCTTCATTTTACAGATAAAGAAAATGTCCAGAGAGGTTAGGGTTACACAGCTAATAAATTACAGGTTTGAGATCTGAACCCAGATTCTCAAAGATCCAATGCAGTACTTATTCTCCTCTACAAGAAATGATGTATCATTCTGGGTGTGCTACCTCTTTTTAAGGGGCGAGTCAGGGTTGAATCAAGGGAAGTCCAACCATGTTTTAACAAAAGTTGCAAGCTATCTTGGCTTCACTCTAGCCACATGACCTTTTATTATTGCTGCCCTGTTTTCCAGCTGTTCTGTTGAGGCTGTGTTGGGGAGGGACACATACAATGTCTGAACAGTAAGGAATATTACAGTATTGCCCTTTCCATCTTCAGTGTCCCTGACCTGTCCTGATAAGAGGTGATTGGAGTTTTATCACTTAAAAAGAAAAGTAGCTTCCTGTTTCTCTGTTCTCTCTTGCTCATTTCCCAGACCCTCAAGAACCCCAGATCATTGGCTACCCTGCTTTTAGAGAATGGAGAAAATATGCAACTTTTTCTGGCACCCTGTCAAAGGATGGACTGATATTGGGATGAGGGCAGGGGTGTGCTGGGAAATGCTTAAGAAACATGCTCTGGGAGCAAAATTTATGTATATATTTTTAAGGTTATTGTCATTATTATTATTATTATTATTATTAACACCTCCTTAAGGCTGGACAATCAACAAAATAATAAATCAAGTCCTGATTTGTATCCACTGCCAATTTTTAAGCTGGAAATGCTCATGTTGAAATTTTAACAATGGGCTCTCACAAACTGGTTAGAGCTGGCACCAGGATACCCCTGGATGACGGTTTCCCTCATAGTCAGGCTCTGGGAGCCCACCCTGACTTTAGACTTTAGGTCATCGGTTTAAATTCTTAGTCAAATACTTGCTGCTTACCTACAAACACTCTGGGAAATGGGTAACATAGTATAGTAGGGAGAGCAGGACACCAGGAATCAAGATGCCTGGGTTCTGATCCCAATACTATCACTAGCTTGGTGTGTAATCTTGGACAGGTCACTTCCCATCTCTGAGCTTCCACAAAACGGAGTGGTGATGTTGAACCAAATCATGTCTAAGGGTCCAAGTTTACAATTCCAACTCTGTGATTCCAATAGTAACATCATTAGACACGGACTGGCAGACACCATGAGTGCTATAGGTAAATGAGAGAATGTGTGGGTTGAAGTAGTTGTAAAGGTTGTAAAGTTGTAAAAGTTGTAGGAGTTTTTTTTTATTTCATGTGTATTAGTCTTCCCTTTCCAACTGCCTTTCAAAACTACATCTTGTCTTATGGTCCCCTTCCCCATCCCATTTCCAATATATCTTGAGGGCCTTGAGCTGGGGTCACAGGAAGGATGTATGCTTTGGAAAGATTAGTCCAGGGGTATAGTTAGAAGGAGTAAAGAGCTCTGATGTTACCACCTGGGATGCAAGAAAGGAGAGGGGCTTGGACTTCCCAGTGTGGGACTGAGCCTCAGCTACCCTGCAGCTGTAGTGGGTTCCACAAAGCCAGGTAAGTGGTCAGTCATTGTGAGTCGTATGAGATAGTCAGGAGCTGAGCTGACTAGGAGCTGAGGGTGTGGGGCCCATGAAGGAAGCTGAAGGTGAGCACTGTGGAGGAGCTCTAAGGGGGACTGAGAGGATGTAGGGGGGATCAGAAGTCAGAATTCCGTTCTGGGGTGAATCTCGGCCCAAATCTCAGAGTGTCCTTGGTTCTGTCCTGCATGGATAAAGATGTCATATGTCAGCAGAACCAGAGTCTCTGTGGACTTGAGTCCAAGAAGAGTTCCCTTAAATGAATGTGGCTCAGTAGGATACATCCCTAGAAGTGGTAGTAATAAGTGAAACCAGCATCACATACTGAGAGTTCAGTCCCAGCCTAGCTCTTCCCAATCATATCTTAGTGAGAATAGGGATTTAAAAAAATCCATGTCTCTGTGGTGACCTGGAAGCATCAATAGCATTAGGTTTTCCATGGAGTGGTCTGTCCCCCAAACTGAGTCTGCATGATTCCTGAGTTTTAGAAAGCCTGAAAGTATAAACTTCTTGAGGGCAGGAATGACATTCTTTACAAATTGTAAATCCTAGCATCATGTTATATAGCCTGCCTGTGCAGAAACTAGTGAGAGTGTATAGGAATGGTCATGAGGTTGATGATAGTACTGCTGGTAGAAGGAGCCAAAGGGATAGGGATGGGAAGAAGGGGGCCGGTTCAGCCTTGTTTGAACAGTCAGGAAGGATCTCAAAGCCTTCTTAGCCCCGAGGGCTACCCACAGGGCTAAACTTTCTCTAGGTCCTAGACTTAAGGTAGTTGGGGATCATAGGATCATACAGATTTAGAGGTGGAAGGGACCTTAGAAGAAAATTGAGTCCTGTCCTTTCATCTTATAGATGAGGAAACTGAGATACAAAGGTTATGTGACCTTTCTAAGGTCATGCAGATAGTATCTGCAGTGGGATTTGAACCCAGGTTTTCATGATTCCTAGTCTAGGTCCTTATCCATAAGGAAGATATAGGAAAGGAAGAAAAAGGTAAAGGGGGCAGAAGAGAAAGGCTGTGGTGGGCGGGCAATGGAATAGGGGCTACTATTAGTGGCCAAAGAAAGCTTCCAATCTCTAAGAATAGCAGGACAGGAGAAATTACTCATCCTGATCCTATCTCCCCACAGAAACCTTTGGTACTTAACCAGAACCCAGCCACTTGGCCATTAAAGTGAACTCCATCCTGGGGCTCCCCTCCAGATAGCCTGCCACTGGGCAGCCAAGGCCAGTGTGTGGGGCCTTCAGTCTTTCCTCCCTCCTCCCCTCAATCGATCCATCAGTCCTTGGCAGCCTGGATTCCTTTCCCCAAACTCCTAGCACGAACTCATTCTCTATCCTGATGGATCAGCTACGGCAGTTTTGGGCCGACCACTTCTCCCGCCGTTTCACACCCAGGCGACCCCCACTGCGCCATTTCTCCTCCATGTCCACCTTCTACCTGTTGGACCACCAAACTCGCCAGGCTGAGCTAGGTCTCAGTTATGGTCCTCCTCGCACTCAGCTCAGTGACCAGGCCTTTGTCTTCCAGGCTGGGAAGTGGGTGATGGAAGGAGGGTGCACAGGTAACTTGCAACCCTTGAACCTCACTGCCTACTGGAAGCATCCTGTCCACCAGGGCAAGAACAAGACATTGCTGGAAGAAAATAACTATTTGAAGCTCCAACAAGAACTGCTCATGGATATGCTGACAGACACCACAGCCCGGCTGCAACTGCTGGAAAAGAAGCTAGATGTGGATACAAGCCCTTTGGCTACTGCCTATGTCTGGCAGAAGATGAGAAAGAGGAATGGAGTGCAGTTGATAGACCCCATGGCCCTTTTCCCCAGGTGATGGGGAGGGGCACCCTCTATTCCCCACTCTCAGACACCTGAATAAATGGAATGTCCCAGAGGGCCACTCTAGCCACTGCCTACCTCTCCTTTCCTCCCTGGCCCTGGTCCTGCCCCTGAATTCCTTCCTGGACATTCCTTCCTGACCTGCCTTCTCGCCCACCTTCGTTATTCTCATTATCCAGCCTGTCCATAGGCATTGGATCTATGAGTTCCCCTAATCCTTTTCCCAAATGCTCTAGGGCTCAGGCAAAACCAAAGCAGGGGATGTTTGTCTCTGGTTCCCTTCTACTCCCCTATTATGCTTTTCTTTTCCCTTATATGCCCTCCACTCTCACACTGCCTCTATCCCCCAGGTGTTTATGATAGGGTCTTAACAGGCTACCTTCCTAGCAACTGCTTATCAGTGTAGAGAAATTACTTTTGAGGTGTAGTTGTCCTTCCTCCCTATTGTTCTCACAGTGGTTTGGGGAAGGAAGAGAGAAGATAGAAATAGATTAAAAGGAGGAGGGGGCGCAGCTAGGTGGCGCAGTGGATAGAGCACCGACCCTGAAGTCAGGAGGACCTGAGTTCAAATCTGGCTTCAGACCAAACGCTTGACTCTTACTAGTTGTGTGACCCTGGGCAAGTCACTTAACCTCAATTGTCTTAAAAAAAAAAAAATGGAGGAGGGAGTGGTAAAGCTGAGACAGACAGTTTTCTGCTGGGGCTGTCCCAGAAACTTCTCCTGTTTTGTAAATCTTTTGTTCTTCTGTCATTTTTCAGTTGTGTCCAATTCTTCATAACCCCATTTGGGGTTTTCTTGGCAAAGATACTGGAGTGGTTTGCCATTTCCTTCTCCAGGTCATTTTGCAGATAAGGAAACTGAGGCAAACAGGATTAAATGACTTACCCAGGATCATACAGTTAGTGTCTGAGACTGGATTTGAACTCACGGTTCATCAGATCTTCCTCATTCAAGGCCTGGCACTCTCTCCACTGTGCCACCTAGCTGGCTTTACCACCACAGCTTGTATCTAGTATGGCATTTGCCCATGTGTTGTTTGCCCCCCCACATGGGGACCTTTGGTTGTATGGTTCTGATATTGTCTTTCTGAAGCCTACAGAAAGACAATGTGTCACTGTTTTCCTTTGATGGAATGCAATGTCTGAATTGCCCACCAGATGTGTTACTTGATCCACAAGGCCCAGGCTTCTAAGCTACTGTCTTTGGCTCTTGGGTTTAGATTGCTTTTCCCAAGAGGATGCAGTATCACTGCTCTGCAGCCATAGGTTGCTCAGCCTGCACATACCTCAGCTGCTCCCAGAGGCCTCACTAAGCAATGTTGATTAACCCCACACTGGTTTGGTCTGAAATTAAACTAGGGGATGAAATCTAGTATTCAAACTATTAAAATGTGAAATCTGTTGTCTGTACTTGGTTCAGAGCCCCTATCTTGTCTGGGTTTTGGGGTCTCAGTTCACTTTCTATTGCATGGACAGACTCAGAGATTTAGCAAGCTGTGGTCAGGGGTTTATAGCACATGGAATACAATGAAAAAGACACTAAACCAAATACACCCCTGTTTGGAAACAGTCACTTCCAAACATCTCTTAGCCCTCCTCCTCTTTGCCCTCCTAGATCTCTTCACTCATGGAAAAGAAATAGGAAGAAAGGGGTGTTTTCTCCCTGTCTCAGACTCATGGACTAAAATAAGAAAGCCACAAAGATATTTTTCTTTCCCATCTCACATTTCTCAGACAGATGGGGGCCATGCTTGTTACCAGAGCACAGTTCCATCTGAGAGGTACAAATCCTGGCTTTTGAGTGATATGAAATGAGGAGGAGAGGAAAAGAGGGAGCTCTCAATGAGTAGCCTCAATTTTCTCAATGAAATAGAAGGCAAAGTATCAGCCCTCAGCAGAGCAGGTTGATGGAAGAAAAGCCATGGGGAGCCATTTATCTTTAATCTCTACCTCTCTACTGGCTGCTTCCCTACTGCCTACAAATATGCCCATGTCTCTTCCATTCTCGAAAAATTCTCACTTGGTCCATCCAACCCTACTAGTTATTGTCGCACATCCCTTCTCTCTTCTTTGGCTAAACTCCTTGAGAAGGTCGGCTACAATAGATGCCTCCATTATTTCCTCTCGTTTTTTAAAGCTCTCTATAGTCTTCTTTCCAGCCTAATCATTCAATGGAAACCACTCTCTCCAAAGTTGCCAATGATCTCTCAATCACCAAATCTAAAATCGCCTTTCTCAGTCTTCATCCTCCTTGATCTCCCTGCAGTCTTTGAAACTGCAGATCATTCTATTTGATATTCTCTTCTCTAGGTCTTTGTGACACAACTCTCTCCTGGTTCTCTTCCTACCTGTCTGACCTTGCCTCAGCCTCTTTTGCTGAATCTTTATTCAGGTCATGCCCATCAATGGTGGGTATTCTTCAAAGCTCTGTCTCAGGTTCTCTTCTCTTCTTTGTCTATGTCGTTTTCTTGGTGATCTTATCAGCTCTGATGGATTCATTTATCATATCAATGCTGATGAATTCCAGATCACTTATCCAGTCCTAACTTCTCTCTTGGCCTCCAGCTGCCTATTAAACATCTTGAACTGGATATCTCATAGATGTCTTAAATTCAACATGTCGAAAACTGACTTCATTATCTCTCCCACGGGGCTCTCCCCTCTTCCAAATTTCCTATTATTCTCAAGGGTACTACCATCTTCCCAGTCACCCAGGCAGACAATCTGGGTGCCATCTTGGACTCTTCATCCTCTCTCATCCCTCATATCCAATCTGTGGCTAAGTTGTGTTGATTCTACCTCCATAATATTTCTAGTATATGCCTCTTAGCTTCTTTCACACTACCCTGGTGCCTCACTTCATGCCTGGTCTACTGCAATAACCTTCTGATTGGCTGGTCTCTTTGCTTCAAATCTCTTCCCACTCCAGTCCATCTTCTGCTCAACTGTCAAAATGCTCTTAAAACACAGGTCTGACCTTTTCACACACCTGCCCCACCCCATCCAATCAACTCCACTGGCTGCTTCTTACCTCTAGGATCAAATATAAAATCCTGTTTTTTAAAGCTCTCCATAATCTAGCCCCTACTCACCTACCTTACTTCCCCCATATAGTGTATGCTCCAGTGACATTGACTTCCTTGTTCTTCTCTGCACACAACACTCCATCTCTCAACTCTGAGTATTTTAATTGGCTGTCTTCCATGCCTAGAATTACCTCCCTCCTCATTTCTACCTTCTGGATTCCCTGTTTTCCTTCAAGTCTCAGTTAAAATCCCACCTTCTAAGCAAGAAAGCTTTCTAGATCCCTTTTAATGTCAATGCCTTTCCTCTGTTGTTTATCTCTATTTTATCTTTTCCGTAAATAGTTATATGAGTGTTGTCTCCCCCATTAGACTGTAAACTCCTTGAGAGTAGGGACTGTCTTTTACTTTTCTTTGAATCCCTGCTTAGTGCAGTGCCTTTCACATAGTAGGATGGACCAAATGAGGATATTAGGATGGAGGAGATATGGGTGTGTTTGGAGGCAGTAGGGGAACAACTAGTAGATTGGGATAGATTAATAGAAAGTAGGTAATAGAAAAAGTAATCTGCTAGAGAAGGCAGGTTAGAATGGAATCACCTTTGCATGTAGAGGTGTTATCCTTGGTAAAGAGAGGGTCCAACCTTTCATTTGAGACAGGGGTGAAGGAGGAGATAATGGTGGAAAAGGCATCTATATGAGTGATGTGAGATAAGGAGAGGGCGAAAAGAGGGGGCTCTTGGTGAATGGACTCAGTTTTTTCCAGTGAAATATGAGGCAAGGTTCACATGAGATGTGAGAGAAGGGAATGTTTGAGGAGGAATGAAAACATTTGGAAAAACTGCTGTAGTGAGTAGGATAGTGAATCAAGTAGAGAGGTGGAAAAGAATTTCCTTGCAGCAGTAAGAGCCCAACTGAGATTATGTAACATAAATTTGTAGTGAACCCAGTCAGCATGGTTTTGTGATTTTCTCCAGCTTGGTTCAGCAGCATGTGAGTAAGAGCAAAGGCAACAGAGCTGGAAAGGAGATGTGGCTCCCTCTCATCCAGGCTCTGGAAGGTTCACATTATATAGGATTTTGACAAAGGCATTGTTTTTCAGTCATTCAGTTATAAATTCAGACTCTTCATGACCCCGTCAACCATAGCACACCAATACTGTCCATGAGATTTTCTTGGCAAAGATACTGGAGTGTTTGGCCATTTCCTTCTGCAGAGGATTGAGACAAACTGAGGTTAAGTGACTTGCCCAGGGTCACACAGCTAGTAAGTGTTTGCCAGATTTGAACTTGTCTTCCACTGATGGTACCCACGCACAAATCACAGTATAAAGTTACATAATATTGTAAATGAGGTAGATTGATATGGATTGTCAGTAAATGTAAATGTTCAATAAAATTGGGGCAGAAGCCAAAACACAAGGGGAATCCAAAATATAAGCTTGGGTGTACCCACTATAAACAAGTGGATCTGAAATAAGACCTGGGTATGGTAACCCAAAACATAAATATTTGGGTGGATCCAGGACCTGAAGAAATCCAAAATTCCTTGTAGCCATCTCCTGCATTCCTAGAGTTATTGAGGTCAGGATGACATTCTGGGTTCAAACAATCTCTAATCATATAAAGTTAAATTTAAACAGTATAATGATTAATAAGTGTTTTTAAAAAAACCACAATAAAACCTTTTCCATCATATTCAAGGCTGCAGCTTTCTTTGTAGGACATGATCAGTGATAGTGAGGAAGATTAATATTATTTTGTATCACTTAATAATATTATTCTGTAATCCATCCTATTTCCCATTTCTTCAAACATTGTTTCTCAGTCTAATTCAAAAGACAGTGTCTCCCAATCTGAAATAACGGCTGATTGAATAATGTGATCACTCCTAGCACTCATGGCATTTGCTAGCTAACCCGTTTAAAGTGGGATCTTTCCTTATTCACCCCATAAACAAAGAACCAGCTTGGG